TTTTCCTTCCTGCCATCTTCATGCTGCTCCCCTGTCTCCAATGCCCTTTTCTCACTACCCTCTTTCAAAATCATCATCCTTCACGTGCCTTATCCTTCGGATAAAGCTGGAATGCCACCTCCTCCAGGAAGCCTTCCTTATCACTCATCCTCAGAATTGGCTGCTCTTCCTTTGAGTGTTGCCCTGTCTTTCCGTGGCACTGAAGTTCCTTGTGGGCAGGCATGGTGTTTATTTGTCCTTTTGTCTTTCTACCAGCGTTGAGCCCTGCCCAGCATGGTGTCTGCATGGTGGTAGCTTCAGATGGAGCTTGCAGAGGGAGCTTGCACAGTGAGGGCTTGCAGAGGGAGGGCTGAGTGCGTCCTTGGGTTTCTTCCTTTCAGGCGTCTCACCTCCCAGTCTATTGCCCAGATCAGGGCTCCTCCCTGGCAGGTATACGCCTCGTGTCATGGAAAGAGCATGGAATGTACAATCGGAATTGGGCTCCAGTTTGCCTGACAATGCAATCTACCTTATAGACTTGCCGTGAGTCTGTAGTCAGCCATGGACAGGAAAGTGCTATGCAGACCTTGACTTCTACTCAAAGCAACACATTACTTAGTCATACTGGGTTGGCCACTGAGGGTCCATCTCAGCTGGGCTCCCAACTGGATTGGCTGGGCCACTTCCTGCCAGGATGAAGGTCTGGGGTGTGACCCCAGGACACAATGAGTGGCCCCACAAACCTGGACAGGGATGAGCCCACGCACCCTGACCCATCCAGCAATTCACATAATAACATGGAAGTCACTATTTTAAAGCGCATATTTAAAGGGTGATTTTTAGTTGTGCAACCATCAACACCATCTAGTTCCAGAATATTTCCATCATCCCAAAAGGAAACCTTAGCAGCCAGTCCTACTCCCCCTCTCTGCTCAACCCCTGGCAACCACTGATCTACTTTCTGTCTCTAAGGGTTTGTACTTCTGGGCATTTCATATAACTAGATCCATACAATATGTAGCCTTTTGTGACTAGCTTCTTTTATTTTGCATGTTTTCGAGATTCACCTATGTTGTAGCACGTAATGGTATTTCACTCCTTTTATGGCTGAATAATATTCCATTGTGTGCGTACATCCCATTTTGTTTATCCATTTGTCCGTTGATGGGCATTTAGGTTGTGTCCACTTTTTATTATTATAAATAATGTTCCTATGATCATTTGTGTACAGCTTTCTGCGTGGACATACGTATTCAATTCTCTTTCAATTCCTTGAAGTGGAATGTGACTCTGTAACTCTACATTTAGCATTTTCCAAAACAGTCGCAGCATTTTGCATTCCCACCAGCAATGCGTAAGAGCTCTGTAATCCTTCTGACACAGGATTCTGCCCCCGCTTGCCTTAGCATTCTGAAATTAGAAGGCCCAGGAGAGAGAATACTGCTGCCAGCTTTCACCCAGCCCTTTCCCAAAGTTATAATTGTGCAAGACAACAAGCTTTGCCAACTTTCATCGTCTGAAAAGCACGCTTGGACCCTTGGGTGCAAGTGACGTGATTTATCTTCCTTGCTGAGGGGATGATACAGCTTTGATCCTTCTGGCCGAGGAGGAGCCAGCTGTCTGTGGATAAAGCTCTGTGTTTGGGCTTGGCTGGTGCACGCAGAGAGGGGAGTGTCACTCACCCGGGCTGTTTGCTGAGGAGCGTTCTTATTAAGCCAGGCGTGTGTCAGGCGTGTGTCTCCACAGCCTCATCAGCCTCCTCTTGGGTCCTCAGGCTTCCTGGCTGGGAGCTGATTCTGGTTCTTGCAGGGGTCTCGGGCGTGAAGCTGGAGAGACGTCTGTGCAGGTGGACGGAGACCGTGGGTGTAGGCTGCTTCCTCCTCGGTGCCCAGCTGGGTAACAGGGGAACGTCCGCTGTCTGCTCATGGGGTGCTGGGAGGCAGAGACTTCCCGACTCCACTGGCTGTTCTTCTCACGACTGTGTACACAAGGGCTCTGTTTGCAGAGCCGCCAGCCTCGGTGAGGAAGGGTTTGTTTTTGCGGCATCTGGATGCGGGAGGGAGGTTTATTAGGCAGGTGGGGTGGGAAGGAGATTGCTAACCCCAGAGGAGTTCCCTTGCAAAGAAGGAAAATTACCAGCTGCGCCTGTTCTACGACTGATGGAGGAAGGGTTTGCTCGTGTTAGTCAGCCCAAGCGGAATGCCTCCGGGAGGTGCAGGGCAGAAGCAGAGCCAGGGAAAACAGTGCCACGAGGTCCCTGCTGATGAACTGATGACCCTGCCTGAAGGTGTCAGGTCATCGTATCTGGTGTGCACTTATCCAACCTCTGAACACCTTACACCCGTGGGTGTTTATTCATGCAACAAATATTTACTGAGTCCCTACTGTGTTCCTTGAGCTTTGTAAGAGCCAGAGATAAAACGGCGATAAGCACAACAAACACGGATAATTGTCCTTGTGGAGATCAGAGCCTGGCGGGGCAGAGAGGCATTAATTAAGTGATCGCAGGAATCAGTGCTGGGCAGGATCTCGCAGGTTCTCTGAGAGCGCATGGGGGAAACGGCTTAGTATGTGGGGGGGCTGTCCAGAAAGCCTTTCCTGGGACACCCAGGTCTACAGCATGAGCAGGGCTGGGGCAGAGAGAAGAGCATTTCCAGTGGAGGGCACCGCAGGTGGGAAGCCCGGAAATGGGGCGCAACACGACACCCGAGGAACGAAACGAGCCAGGAGGGCAGAGCAGAGAGGGAGGAGAGACAAGGGGTAGAGGCAGAGAGGCAGGCAGGGCCGGTCTGCTCAGGGCCTGATGGGCCGTGCGACAGCCCCCTTACCCTTCATCCTAAGAGAAGGGGGCAGCCACTGGCGGGTGGGGTCGGGTTTGAACTGGGCAGTGACACGGTCAGGTTTGTGTTTGCTGTGCCCGCTCTGGGTAGAGTTAAGATTGCTCACGGACTTCAGCCACAAGCTTCAGAGAAGTAGGCAGTGGATTCACAAGCAAACATAAATGTTTCTTTTCCTTTTCCACAGAGTTACTAGATTTCTCCTGGAATCCCGTGCGGTGGAGGGGGATCCGTGTGGACCGATGGAGTCGTGGTTCTGGTTTTAGGGAGGATGGGCCCACCCCGGTGAGACCAGGGCAACTTTGCGGGCTGGCGAAAACGTGGCTGTGAACGCTGGAGTTGCGCAATAGCGGGCCGACGCCAGATCAGGGAAGAGTGGCATTGCAGGGACGAGGGAGAGTCTCCAAAGGGCAGGGGCCATTCCAAGTCCTTCTGAGCCAGCTGGAGCCTCTGAAGGTCATTGGGCCTTAAATTTCTGAGGAAACCTGGGAAACCACATTTTTTCTGGACACCCTTCTTTCTGGCCACTTAGACCTGCCCACCTAGCTCAGTGCTTAACACAGGGGCTGTCCCTGGCTTAGAAGGTCAGGGCTGGAGGCCTCAGAGGTCGGCAGGCCCAGAGCTTTTCCGAGTGTGGCCCTCGGTCCCCTGCATGAGCATCACCTCTGGATAATGGTTGGGAAACTGCAGCTTCCTGGATCTGACCTCAGACCTGAACCAGAACTCTTGTTTTGGGGGCTGGAGGATGTGGGTAGGGGGTTGATGGTAAGATCTTTTAGGGAATCAGCATTTGAAGCAAGTGTTCCGGGGGATTCTTCTGCATACTGTGTTAGTTTCCTAGGGCTGCTGGAACCAGTCACCACAAATGTGGTGGCTTAAAATAACAGAAACATTCTCTCACCGTTTTGGAGACCAGAAGTTCCAAATCACTGCAACCAAGGGCCATGCTCCCTCCCAAGGCTCTAGGGGAGGGAGCAGCTGGGGGCAGGGTCTCCCTGTCTCTACCTGTCTCGTCCCATGGCCTCTCCTCCTCCACCCGTTGTCCAGTCTCCCTCTGCCTTCCTCTTAGTAGGACACCTGCACAGTTAGGGCTGGGATATTCCCCACCTCAAGATCTTTAACTTAATCATATCTACAAAGACCCTTTTCCCAAGTAAGGTAACATCTACAGGTCCCAAAGATTAGGTCCTGGTATCTTCAGGGGATCATTTTCCCATCTGCCACAAACACCCAAGTTCAAAAATCGGTATGGTTCACATCCTTAGGGTAGATGAGGCACAGGAAACTGGAGCCCACGGAGAAGTACTAATCCAAGGTCACATGGCTTGTAAGTCACTTCTCACATTAAGACTTCTGATTCCTCGTCTTTTCTGGGAGTCCTGGCTCTATGGAATAATGATATCTGACATTTCCTGAATGCTTCTTACGTACTGTTATAAGCGAATTATAGATACTGTCTCAGCCCTCTTCCAAACAACCCTTTGAGGTGTGTTCTCCTATGATCTTTCACTTTACAGATGGAAAAATTAAGGGGAAAAGAGATTAAATAACTTGCCCAAGGTGACAGGGCTAATTACTAGTGGAGCTGGGGTAGAAACCCAGGCAGTCGGAGGCCAAAACCTGCGTTTGTGGGTGGAACAACCTCCAGCTGGGCTTATTCCAAATCTACTCTGTGCATCACCACTCTCTGATTTTTTTTTTCCTTCCTAGAAAATTTGGAACCAAACCTTTCTGGAAGGAAAGGAGACCCTTCTGACCACTTGCCCTCTTCCTGCTCAGAACCATGTCTCCAATTCCTTGGTGAGTCTTTGCCTCAAGCTGCAGACAAACCTTCTCATCTCAGTCAGTGGGCCCCACGCAAGGCAAGCAAGTCTTGCAAAGAGGTGAAAAGGGTTGAGATCCTAATGGATTTCTTAGGCTAATGGCCCAGGATGGGTCCTGGAAGGTTCCCAGCTTCCAAATTACCTGTAAAAGGCAGAAGAAGAAGGTGGGGCAGCCTCATTTGCACCTTGGGTACATATTTGTTCCTGGCCTGACTCACTTCCTTCTGCAGCGGGGCCTGGGGTGAAATCTTTGTCCGTTCCTCCTCCCTCGGTGCTGCCTTATAGCTCCCCTCCCGGCAGGGCAGCTGTCTGAGAGTACACAGCAGCCCTGCTGTCCTGTCCGCCCCGTGGAGCCACGGCCATGGCAGCCCAGGCGGCGGGCGTTTCCAAGCAGCGTGCGGCTGCTGAAGGCCTTGGCTGCAACCAGAAAGCTGTGAAGTACCTGGGCCAGGACTTCGAGACCCTGAGGCAACAGTGCTTGGACTCTGGGATCCTATTTAAGGACCCAGAGTTCCCAGCGTGTCCATCAGCTTTGGGCTACAAGGATCTCGGACCACACTCCCCCGAAACCCAAGGCATCGTCTGGAAGCGGCCCACGGTAAGGAAGTGGGCTTGCTGTTGGTTGTCACGCAGGGTGGAGGGCCCTCGCATCTGGTCAGAGAAGTCATGGCTGTGGAGCTGAAGTTTCTGGACCCCATATTTCAGATCCTGTCCTCACTCCTGCCACCTTCTAAAATCTCGTGCAGAGGCAGTGAGGTATAGAGGCAGGAGAATGAATGAGGTTTGGAGCCAGGCAAGTTAGAGAATCCAGGCTCTGCCTGTGTGTGGTCTCGGACAGATAAACTCTGTGAGCCTCAGTTTTCTCATCTGTAAAATGGTGTTTACTGGCACCTTATTTTTCAGGGTTGGTGTAAGAACTAGAGATACATCTCAGAGCATAGTGCCCGGCAGAGAACACACAGTGGTTATACTTGCACAGGGCCCTGGGCCAGTGCACAGTGGAACAACTCAAGGCTAGATGTAGTCAGCACTCTGGTAAATTGTGACCATAGCATTGTGGAAAGGTGCAGGGTTGCTTAAGGTCATGAATTGTCACTGCTCCATCAGGGCTGGTGCGGGGAGAGGTGGGAGCCACGGCTGTGTGGATGCAGATGGAAGTCAGGGGCTCCTGCCTAGTGCTCAAGGGCAGGGGATGGGGAACTGTCCTCCAAAATCCTAGGCCTGTGACCCACCGCAGTGTGACCCTTGTCAAGTGGTTTAACCTCAGGGATAGGAACCCTCCCCGCACAGAGTGGTTGTGAGACCTTAGACCAGTAGAAAGTGCTCTGCTCAGTGTCGGCCCCTGACATGGTCTCGGAAGAGAAGCCGTGAACCGGGCATCCGTGGCCTCGGCCAGGGTAGCTTTTGTCTTCCAGCCACGACAGGGAAATCAAATCACGGCTCCTGTTTCTTGGCAGGGGTTGAAAAGGAAAGATACGGAGAGAATAATTCTTTTTTTTTTTTTGAGACAGAGTCTCACTCTGTTGCCCTGGCTAGAGTGAGTGCCGTGGTATCAGCCTAGCTCACAGCAACCTCAAACTCCTGGGCTCAAGCAATCCTTCTGCCTCAGCCTCCCGAGTAGCTGGGACTACAGGCATGTGCTACTGTGCCCAGCTAATTTTTTCTATATAGTTTTAGTTGTCTGATTAATTTCTTTCTATTTTTAGTAGAGACGGGGTCTCGCTCTTGCTCAGGCTGGTCTCGAACTCCTGAGCTCAAACAATCCGCCCGCCTCGGCCTCCCAGAGTGCTAGGATTACAGGCGTGAGCCACCGCGCTCGGCCGAGGATAATTCTTTTAAAATGATCGAAACCATCACTCAACTCCCACTATCTCTACCTTTTTGTGTTCGTCCTATTGATTTCACACAGCGGTTTCCACCTCTGAGAACAACTCCCTTGCCAGGCCACCCTCCCGCCCATGGGGTCCACTTCCCGCCCTCCTTTGAGACCTATGGGGTTACCCTGGCATGCTGATAGAATCAAGATTGGGGATTATGGTTTTATATCCTGATTTCAAGAATTGGCAGCGACACTTCATTTCAGTGGCTTGCTGAGCCTGTTTTGTACCAGGCATTGGCCATGGTACGGTTTGGGAAGGTGGCCAGGGGGGAAACTGAGGCATGAGCTGTGGTCTCAGCTCCGATGGTTGTGGGGAGGCACAGGTGGGAATGAAGGATCGATGCCCAGGGCAGCACGAAGTAAGAACTTAGCAGAGGCGTAAATCCCAGCCCGCAGGAATCTGACGAAGAGCCTTAGCGGGGAGTGGGATTGAAGAGCCCAGGTGACTTGGGGCAGGGGAGGTAACAGGGAGGGGACTATTCCCTTTAGTGACCAAAGTCTGGTATCAGTTAACCTTTGCCTAGTTCTTCCCCTTCCTTCCAAATTCTCAGAGCCCTTACCTCCGCACCAGGCAAGCACACTGCCCGTTCTCCCCCAAACCGCGTCTTCACCTGGTCTCGCTGTCCACGGAGACGTGGCGATTTGAGACTGGATGTGCGCATTTGTGTCCGTCAACAGAAGTAGCAAAATCCAGAGGATGAGGCCGTGGAACCCGACTCATGTGGGAGGCAGAGCGGAAGGACCCTATTGGAGTGCGCGTGGGTGTCAAAGACATAAATGTGCGTCAGAGTTTAATCTCTGCTTTGCCAATCACCAGGGAGGAATTGTCACAGCTGCTCTGGCCAGGCTCACATTCACGTACCACAAGGGAACAGCAGAGGATGCAGCTTTATCCTCTGAGATCTTACAGATCATCGAAGGGACTCCCGAGTCAGTGGAGATTCTGATGCTGTCCCTGTTGGGGACATGCGTGGGATCCTGGGAGAGGCAGCCTGTACCCAAACGCCTCCGTTTTCTTTTCCCGAGAGGGCTCTGCGGGGGCTTGCAAGCAGATTGGGGTGTCCAGAAAGGAGGTGCATTGTAAGGTATCTTTGGGAACGGTGCTGAGACATGATCTCCTGGCAAAGCTGAGGACTTGCCGTGGTCCCCGAAAGAGTCATTCAGCGTATTACTCATGGCACTCCAGAGGAGGGGACATATGGAATTATACTTATGAATAACATGTAGTAAAATGAACTTTCCATCTACCTATAAACTACTTAGCACCATTCTGGATATAGCACGTTAAATTGTGTAGAGCCTTTGACAATCGCTCTGTCTTCCAACCCAACTCAAAATTTCAGCAGGCCTTGGTAGGCCTATTATTAATAGATATGAGTCTAATGAAATTATATCTCATGGACAGTGTGACATAGCTAATTGAATATATGGCTTAGGGAGTTATTTTGGGAGCATCAGCATGTTCTATGGTTAGTAGAAGCCATTTTTTTTATTTTTTATTTTTGAGACAGAGTCTTGCTCTGTCACCTCAGCTAGAGTGCAGTGGCATCATCATAGCTCACTTCGACTGCAAACTCCTGGGCTCAAGCGATGCCTCAGCCTCCTGAGTAGCTGGAACTACAGGTGTGCACCACCACGCCCAGCTAATTTTTCTATTTTTTGTAGAAATGGGGTCTCACTGTTGCTCAGGCTGGTCTCAAACTCCTGACCTCAAGTGATCCTCCCATCTCAGCCTCTCAAAGTGCTAAGATTACAGGCATGAGCCACCGTGTCTGGCCTCTGCCTACCTTTTTTAAAGCAAAATTTCAATTCAAAAAATTTTTTTTGTCTCTTCCTATTTATTAATCTTTCAAATCTCTCTACTCTAGTCACCAAGAAATGACTGGAGACTGGGAACTCTTGAGCACCTGGGATCAGCATTTGTAGCTGCCCACTTTGAAAACACCCAGATTGGCTGGTGCCACATCTCTCTTTAAATTGGCACCAGAGATTGCAACAGATTGAAAAGAAAACTCAAAAAACCAAAGGTCCATCACTTGAGGACTGGCTAAACAACTCATGGTACTTTTAATGAAATTACAAAGCTTCATCACAAAGTTCTTAGGTCCTAAGACATACGTGATAAAAAATGTGTATAACCTTACAATAGCAATGGCTGGATACTTTCTGCACAGCCCTTGTATATGTATTGTATATATTTGTGCTTTTATGGCAGGAGAGAGTTTCTGGAAGGATATGTAAGAAATGCTAACAGTGGAGAATCTGAGCTGGAAGGAATTTTTTTTGTTGTACACCATTATTTTACTGCTGGATTTTTTTCCATGTGCATGTATTTTTTTCAATGAAAAATAAGTGAATGAATTTTTTTAATACTTGGGAAAAAAAAGCCAGCCAAAAGGAGATGTTTCCGGCCATTTGGGCAGGAGCCGGCCGCCTTACGGAGGGCTGTAGCACCGCCACTCGGAGGGCTCCACCTCACACAGCAGAACCCCGGAATCCCCAGCCTGTGCCTCTGCCCTCGGCCCACGGCCTGCTTCCTCAATCCCTTCGGTCTACCATTTCACCGTCTCTGTGCAGCAAGAACGAGATTTTTCTTGCTCTCCGCGGCCAGTCTTTGATGTAGCACAATGCAGGATGCCTCTGATTAAATGTAGGCGGACTTCCTTTTTGTCTTTTGGGGTCCACCTTTTCCCCCAGCAGTTTGCCTGGTGGCCAGACAGACCCATCTCTTCTTCGGGAACAAATCTGTAAATTACTCTCAAATCCTGCCTTTCCAGTGGCTGGGCATCGTCTCCCATCCAGTAAGTATTTCAGCCATAATCACTATTGGACATTTTTCTCCTTTTGTGGGTACAGTCTACATTCTATTATTACGCACCAGCCTTCTTTTCCTCTGATTTTTTTGTAATGCCAATCTTGGTTTCCTACATAGACCAAAAGCACTTTGAGGCCAAGAATCACGTGTTTTATTTCTTTTCTTTCATTTCGCCATGCTCCCCTTTTCCCCCTGCCTGTCACGGTGCAAGCAATACTGAGTGTAGAATGGGCATGCGATAAATCCTTCTGGGTAAACAAATAAAGCGTGCCTCATCGCGCCCCAGCAGAGCTCCGGAGCCCCATAGGCAGATGGCAGTTGAGGTCGGCGAGGAGGAAGGGCGGGTCAGACAGATGAATGTATCAGAGCTGAGTTCTCCTCCTGGGATAGATGGTACTTCCTGACACCTCAGCATTTCCAGCAGCACATGGGATCATTAGAGTATTTAACGAGTGTCTGCAGGGTGCATAGCATTTTGCTAAACATTATCCTAATGCTCTATCTTATATAAATAGGGGTGTTGTCTGAATGGGCGAGATCACATTTTGTCACACCATTATCTCAGCCTTTGCCTTTCTCGTCCCTCCCTGCCCCTGCCACCCTTCACACCCACACAACCACATGATACGTGCAGTGATAAAAATGCTGGTGTGATGGGGTGTGGGTCCCTTCCTGCTCTAGCTGTGCGGCTGTGGGCAAGTCTCCTCCCTCCCCTGGGCTTTGGCGTCCTCAGCAATAAACCGATGTTCCGTGCAGTGAGACGATCTCCTGGGTCTCCTCCAGGTCTGCCTTCCGTGACCCTGGTGTCCCTTTACCCCTGCTGCCCCCATCACTGAGCCTCTGGTGACTTGTGTTTTTTTCCCCAATTGCTCTCAGGAATTGTGCCCCAGCCCCCAGTTTATCATTGGCGGAGCCACGCGCACAGACGTTCGGCAGGGTGGTCTAGGTGAGTGGCTGGGGCAAGTCCTGTTTGTTCTGTGGAGGGCGGGGTGTGTGTAATATCAGAGCAACCCCAGAGTAACCTGTAGCGCTTGACCAACGGGATTATGTCCCTGATTTCTCCATATTGGTTTGTGCTTTTGCAGTCAGTCTTCACTCTGGGGCTGAAGGCTGGAACTACCTTTAGGCTCCCCCAACAAGAGGTTTTTCTGCCAGCTCACTTAGCCACTTTAGTGCTGGAGTAATGAGTAGATAATCATGCTGCACTGTGTTTTCCTAGTAGTTACCTGTAAGCAGACATAATTTGCCCTATGGAATAGCCATGTCTCTGTTATTAGGGATGTCATAATTGATGCTTTTAGAATTAGTAAGAAAACAATCTTATCTTTCTAGCCAGGCATTCTTTCATAGGCCTGGGATCCTGGAATCAAGAATTTTTATTTCCGAACCTATCATATTCCTTTCAAATCAAGTGCAGTTAAGTGTAAGAAATAATTTCATTTTGTTATGTAAGTCCTCGCCCCGGCTGTGGGAACTGAGGCTCCCCTTGGTAGTGGATCAGCTTTATTGATCTCATCAGCCCTCCTGGGCCCAGGGCCTCCCGGACGGGAGTTTCTCCATGGAGTTGGAAACCAGTGACGGTTTATGGACAACCTGGCCCTGAATTGAATTCTCCGGGCTTCCAAACTGCCCTCCGGTGACAGCTGCAAACTATAGACCTGGAAATGAACACAAAGAAGAAACAAATCCTACTTGGTGAAAATCAGCAAAACAAACAAAAACCTCAGCATCCACACCAACCCCGTAACCTGTTTTTTTAGGAGGTTTTCCCTTTTTCTCTTTCCTCCTTGTTCTAGCGAGGAAAACCTTTTCGCTTCAGCCTGCTGGAAACTTTCACGATTTTGAAAATTGCAGGGCATTTTATTTTAAATGCTTCCAGTGTTCGCTCCTCTAATGCGCAGAGCAAATATGCCCCGGCCCGGCCGGAGCCTGCCGGTCAATCAGCAGGAGCCATCGGGGCGCACGACCTGCTCCCGCCCCACAGCCTCGCTTCCCGGGCGTTGCGCGGGGCGGCAGAGGGCGGCGTGCTGACCTTCCCTTGTCCTCGGCCGGTGTGCGCTTTTCCTTCCAGCTCCATGTTGGAGCTGATTTAGCGTGTCTCTGGGAAACGCGACCTCCAAGGTGCCTTTAGCAGCTCCTTGTTAAAAGACGTTTTAACTTTGGGAAAGGTATTTAGTAAGTACTTTTCATTGATTGGCTCGGATGGATTTTTCTTTGAATAGTTTTAAGCGAGGAGAAGAGAGGGTTTCCAGAAGGGGCCGGAGCGTTGCCATGGTGAGCGTGCGCCGCGGGCGGCGGTGGAGGCTGGCGGTGCGGGAAATGAGCCGCTGATTGACTGGGGGTCCCGCTCGCGTCAGAACGAACCGGGCGACCCCCACGCCGCCGCCCTGGGGGAGCGCCGCCCGCGCGGGGCTGTAATGGACGGGCGCGCAGGGGCCTGGGCGGGCGGAGCCTCGGCAAGCGGAGAAGTGGGCGCCTCACAGCTCCCAGCCCGCCGCTCCGGGCCGGGGTGGCGGCCGGTGGCTGCGTCGCGACCGCCCGCGTGGCCCTGGGCAATGAGCAGACTGCGGCGAGGTTAAGAGGAGAGACTCCTCACCCGACACACGGCGCGTTCCCGGGGAGCAAGGCGGCAGCGCGCAGCGCTGTTGGAGCAGGGCGTGACGCCGACTAGCGTTTGTTCGATGCTTCGTTGGCTTTTCAGAATCGAGTACAGTGCTGTGGAGTGTGCTTCAGGTTTTTTTTTTTTTTTTAATTTATGATTTTTTTTAAACAGTTGATCTGGACAATGAAAATGATATCTTTTTGCGTAGAGTTCTGTGTTATTATTTTTAGTATTGTTTTGAATACGCACAGTTTAAAAATTAAAACAACAGAAAGGTGCCCAGTGGAGGCTGCTCCCCGCCTGTCTGCATCTACTCCATTGTTCACTGCCTGGTAACCACTTTTTTTTTAAACTTCGTTCGGCATCTCTTTATGCAAATTCAAGCAAATCAAAATACATATTTTAATTTTTATCCCGTTCTGGCATTGAAGGCAGCGTACTATAAACACTGTTTGGCACCTTGCCATTATTCACTGTTATTTCACTTAATAAAATATCGTAGAGATCTCTCCATGACAGTCTGTAAGACACTCCATTCCTTTTTAGCCACTCAGCGTGCTATACTCTTTTGTGTGGACGCAGCACGGTTGATTTGTGGTTTATCCTGTCTCCCTTTGATGGACACTTGAGTTATTTTCTTGCTGTTATAAAAAGTGTCGCAGTGCATCTCCTTGTTTGTACATCGTGTCGCGTGTGTGAGGCTGTGTGCCAGCAGGTCCAACATGTGGCTGCTCGCATGAGGGTGGGGTATCCATCCTTCCTTCCTCCTGACTGTCCTTGCAAAGCCAGATTTTCATCCTAGAGTGTGAGCCTCTGGCTCCCATCAGAGTTCACGCTCACATGGAGCCCGGGAGCCGGCATTCTTTGCAGAGGTGTTTTAGGGAAATAAAGATCGAGGAGGCTGAATGCTAAGGACCCAGCGAATCCAAACAATTCTTACTGTAGGGTATGATGTTTCTTTGGGTAGCTCAGCCCCTGCAGGAAGACAGTGTGGTTTTGCCTCCACACAAGTAATTAAATGAGAAAATCCTTTGATGAAAGAGCCTCCAAACAAAAGCCCTCCCTGGACCCCCAGGCCTCCTGGTACCCTGTGAAGGAGAGTTCTCCAAAGATGCTGAGCCTGCAGTCCCAGCCTTTCCTCGCTCCTTGTTCTCCGTGGAGCCTGTACTCACCAGGTCTAGCAAGGGCCACACATGCTCAGTGTCCTACTGGGGTGTGAGGTCTCAGGGTCACCCCATGTAGTGACGGAGTAAGCGGCAAGTGTGTAGTTCCCTGTGGAACGCACCTGTGGGTGCCCATTCGCAGTGGGTGCTGCAGGTTGCACATCACTCAGGGGACCTCAGGGACCCAGCCTGTCCCTCCGCTGCTCATTCCAGCACAGTCTGTCTCTCCCTTGCATTTTGGCCCATGCATATCTCAGAGCATCTTGAGGCCCTTATGGCCACTGAAGTGGACCCTATTCTACACAGGAAGTACCCCTTTCTGGCTTCGTGCACCCACATTGTAAGTCACACCTGTGTATCAACCACAAGTCCTACGGTCACTGGCCTTAGAAGTCCAGCCCAACTAGCTCAAGGAAAGGAAGATTTATTGGCACGTCCAACAAGACCATGGAAGGGGAAGGGCAGCGTTGGTCTCTGGGAAGCCTGGCTCTGGGGGCTAAATGTTCCTGGCACACTCCCTGCCCACCTTTTGTATCTACTGGTATCTACGGATTGGCTTCACTCTCTTCCATGGCAGACACGATCCATCGGCAGGAAATCTGACCACTGGTGGTTCCAAGCTTCATCCCAGCAGCATCATAAACCGGCTTTGGTTTTACAGATCTCAGAAAAGCACTCTGATGTGATGGTTTGGGTCGTCACCCACTCCTTGGGCCGGTTACTGCAGCCAGAGGAGGTGAGGTACCATTTGGTCGGCCCAACCTGGGTCATGGGTCCGCTCTTGTGACTGGGAACCCCCCTCCAAAACCACAGGGAGAATTCTCCAGAAGAAGGGAGCAGTGGCTCTGGCCAGACAGAATAAGGCAAGTGCACCTCACACGTAAGTGGAGGGGACCCAGGTCTGACCCAGCCTGCACTTTCCCTCTGCCCTCTGCCCCTCATGGCCCTAGCATCTTCCCCTCCCCAGATCCATTACTCTGCATTGCTACCAGAAATGCCTTTGTGGAGGTCCCTCTTCTCTCTCCGATCTGCCACTAGCAATGGCTAATTCAGCAGGCACAAGTAGACCTGCCGGGGCCTCTCCACCTCAGTTTTCACAGCTGTAAAGCGGGGATACAATCAAACCCAGCTGTCTGAGTGATGGTGCTGAGTAGAGAATTGACACTTGGTGCCTGTTTTCTGGGAAACTTTCGATCTGTTGATCTAAACCCTTTTATCATATAATCATGTGAACACAGGTGTAGCCTAAATCTGAGGCTACTTGTGTTTTTCTTCTTTCCTTTCCACTCTTGACCATCAGGCTGGATCAGGCATTTAGAGTAAAAGTCCCATCCTGAAGTTGCTTATGTGCCTTTATTTTCAAAGGATTTCAAAGTCTCATGGCTTATCCACTTGGCTTTCCCCAGCCTGCTGACACTGATGGTTGGGTGCATAAAGGTGTTTGGAGGTGCTTGCTGGTCCTCGACCATGGAAGGATGTCCCAGGAACAGACCACGAGTGAGACTGTCCCCGGCCCCTGCTGGTGGCTGTGGATAAAGGAACACTCACGGGACCCTGTGGCCCCTAGTGGGACTCAGCGTTGGCTTGTGTCGGAAGCTCAGCAGTAACTGCAGGTGCCAGCGACCTGCCAGGCAGGCTCCACCCAGGCCTTACCTTAGTTCGTCACAAACAGGGACACACTAGGATATGGTGTCATTTGTGCTCAGGGTTGTGAAAACACAACAGGACTTGAACTGTCTTCCGGTGAAAACGGGCCCAAAGGCCACTTGAGGGATGTTATTCAATAACAGTAGAAGACCTTGGTCTCTGAAAAAGGAAATTCGATGCTTGCTGCTTTCAGGAACTGGGAGCAGGAGATTTTCTTCTTTAACAGATGAGGTATAGAAACTTCCAGAATGTAGACAGAAATGAGAGTGATTTTTGAATAACACATGCTACAAAGTTTGTCCAGACTTTTGACCTAGTGGGTGGTTTATTTTCCATGGGGAGCAGGACTAGTAAGTGACAGGAGCTTTGATAAGCCCTGGGGTTTCCCCGTCCATGTTCTGCCTCCCACCTGTTCCCACTCTCCCTCTCACACTCTGCGTCTGCGCCTGTACGTGCTCCCCTTGCCTCGCCCCTGCTCTCTGCTGACCCAATTTTCCTTTTTGGCTCTATGGAACTGGTATCTTTTTTGTCTTT